CAAACAAAACCAATACAATCCTCCTCCATAGTAGACCAGTAGTAATCTTGCCTGAGAATCTTCCGGGCTAACATTACTCCGTTTATGTGCGCTCCGCACTCTCCTCCATGGATGGCCTCCATTAGACACTTTGATTCCTCTGTTTCGACACACAACTTGTGCATTCCCAGATGACCCTTCTTGTATAGTTTACCTCCGCAGATGATAAATTGAATGGCCATCCGCCGTATTGCCCTCTTATCTTTGGCATTTGCCCCTGGTGGATAAACCTCATTTTCCAAGAAGTTCTAGATATCGTAGAACCAAGGGTTTTGATCTTGTGCTTCATCTATTGCGGCGATAGTCTCGTAGGCCGGTGTATATCTCTACTCAATGATGATTGGACGCATCCAGACTCCAAACGGGATGTCTATCATAGAAGATAGAGTTGATAAGGCGTCAGCGAACCTGTTGTTCTCTCTCAGTAGATGTGCAAATGTTAGCTTTTCAAACCTAGGAATCAGAACGTCCAGGGTTTGATGATAGATCCTCATCTTTTCCTCTTTGACTTTCTAGTCCCTTTTTTCTTGAGACACAATTAGGTTCGAATCCCCGATGACGTCCAACCTTTTTGTCCTTAGTTCCAGGGCGGCTTTCAAACTAGCGATACACGCCTCATATTCTGCTTCGTTATTGGATACTTTGAACCAGAGTTTGAAGGCTAAAGGTATATGAGAATTGTCAGGTGCTATCAGCAACACACCTATCCCATAATCGTATTGATTAGACGCTCCGTCAAAGTACATTGTCCAAATCTCTTCCTCGACTTGCAGAATAGCTTCATCTGGGAACAGGTATTCTACCGCTTCACCCGCTTCCACTGGGTGATCTTCCAAGAACTCCGCCACAGCTCTCCTCTTGACAGACTTACGAGTGACATACTTCAAATCAAATTCGGAAAGGAGAAACAACCAACAAGCTAGCCTACCCGTAAGTGCTGGTTTTTCAAAGAGATATTTGATGGGATCTAATCTCGAAACCAGAATTATGGAGTGAGCTAACAAGCAGTGCCTCTACTTTCTGGTAGCCCATACCAAGGCCAAGCAAGCTTTTTCCAACGGGGTGTAACGGGTCTCATAATCCAGCATTTTCTTGCTCAAATAGTATATGGCTTTCTCCACCCTATCCTCAAATTCCTGAGCAAGCATGCATCTCATCGTTGTGTCCATTACTGACAAATATAAAATCAAAGGCTTCCACGGCTCTAGCAGCGACAACATGGGTGGGTTCTGAAGATACTGCTTGATCTGCTCAAAAGCGACTTGACATCGATCATCCCAACGGAATTTTTTTCCTTTCTTCAGGAGACCAAATAGTGGTTCACAAGTCAAGGTTAATTTAGAAATAAACTATCTTATGAATTGCGCTTTACCCAGAAAGCCTCGCACCTCCTTTTCAATCCCTGGTAATGGCATTTCTAGGATGGCCTTGATTTTGGAAGGATCTACCTCGATGCCCCTCTATGTGATCAAGAAACCCAGCATTTTCCTTGCTGTTACACCAAAAGTACACTTCTACGGATTCAACCTCAGTCTTTATTCTCTAATCCGTTGGAAGAATTTCTTCAAGGCGGTGTAGTGGCCTTTTCTTTCCTTGGACTTGACAATCATGTCATCCACGTACACCTCGACCTCTTTATGGATCATATCATGCAGAATTGTGGTTGCAGCCCTTTGATAGGTAGCCCCGACATTCTTTAGCCCAAACGGCATCACTCTGTAGCAGTAGGTTCCCCACGATGTAGTGAAAGTGGTTTTCTCTCTGTCCTCGGGTGTCATCAGAATCTGGTTATTCTCCGAAAATCCATCCATGGGGAGCAATGCATGACCCACGGTGAAGTCCACATATTCATCGATGTGCAGTAGAAGAAAATCGTCCTTCAGACTAGCTCTGTTCAGATCTCTGAAGTCCACACACACTCGAATTCTGCTATCTTTCTTCGGCACTGGGACAATATTGGCTAACCAAGTCGGATACTCAGATACTAGCAAGAACCCTACGTCTATCTACTTGGTGATCTCCTCTTTAATCTTCAAAGCTCAATCTGGCATATTCTCCGTAACTTCTATTTGATGGGTCGGCCCTCGGGGTCGAGAGGGATCCAATGTTGTACAATCTCAAGATCAATTCTAAGCATGTCTTCATAGGACCACACAAAAACATCTGTGAAATCTTTTAATAGAGCAACTAAGCGCTCACACTCCTCCGAAGACAACTGTAACAAGCCCGCGGGGGACCTCGCTACAGCTCGGACTCGACTTTTCGCAGTCACGGTTCTAAGTCTGAACCAAAGAGTCCAAATCTGGCAAATCGTTTTTAGGAAAACTGATTTTTGAAAGAAGTGCCAAACATGGACATAGTTTACCTCCGCAGATGATAAATTGAATGGCCATCCGCCGTATTGCCCTCTTTCTTTGGCACTTGCCCCTGGTGGATAAACTTTTTTTTCCAAGAAGTTCCAGATATCATAGTACCAAGGGTTTTGATCTTGAGCTTCATCTATTGCAGCAATAGTCTCGTAGGCCGGCGCATATCTCTGCTCAATGATGATTGGACGCATCCGAACTCCCAGCAGGATGTTTATCCTAGAAGATAGAGTAGATAAGGCGTCAGCGAACCTGTTGTTCTCTCTCAGTAGATGTGTGAAAGTCAGTTTTTCAAACTTAGGAATCAGAACGTCCAGGGTCTGGTAATAGATCTTCATCTTTTCTTCTTTGACCTTCCAATCTCCATTTGCTTGAGAAACAACTAGGTTCGAGTCCCCGATCATGTCTAACCTTTTTGCCCCTAGTTCCAGGGCAGCTTCCAAACCAATGATACACACCTTATACTCTGCTTCGTTGTTGAAGACCTTGAACCGGAGCTAGAAGGCTAAAGGTATATGGGAGTCATCGGGTGCTATCAGCAACACACTTATCCCATGACCATATTGATTGGATGCTCCGTCAATGTACATTGTCCAAGTCTCCTCCTCAACTTGTAGAATGGCTTCATCTGGGAATAGGTATTCAATTGTTTCATCCCTTTCTACTGGGTGACCTACCAGGAACTCCGCCACGGCTCTCCCCTTGACCGACTTGCGAGTGATATACTTCAGATCAAATTCGGAGAGAAGAAGCAACCAACAGGCTAGCCTACTCGTAAGTGCTGGTTTCTCAAAGAGATATTTGATGGGAT